TGTAAATAAACAGGATTACATCAAAGAAATACCTGACCCCATACTAGCGGAAAAAACCCGCAGGGCCCCAAACTTTGGCCAACCACTCTTGTCAAAAGGGGCAACAGTACTATCAAAACAAAGGCATCAAAAGAGAATAAAGGAGCAAAAAGCACTCTCTTGCTTGCTTCCCAGCCTCAAATGGCTGCTATATTTTCCCTCTGCGCATATGGGCAAGAAGAGATGGGGAATAAGTCAGCTGAGCACCACTGGGGAATTTAAAGCCGGGGCAGGGTATGATCCATGTCACCCTTACCCACCCTGCACCAGAGCTGAAGGGGACTGTTAGGCAGATTGGCCCAGATCTTCAAAGATAATTAGATGCCTGCCTCCCATGGAAATCAGTTGGAATTAGGCACTTAAATACTTAGAGGATATGGGTCATTTTGACTTCCTCAGTCAGAATCTGCTTCCTGATGTGCTGCTAGGGCAACACAACAATGTACTGGTCCATATGTGGGGCTTGTGCAAAGCCACAATTGACCCCTTTTGTTTTGCAATAGCTGTGCTTTTTACCCTTAGCTCTTTATTGACAATATTTGGTTATTTCCCCCTCTTATTTGTTCTCTTATTCTCATCGTAGGAATAAATGTTACATTTAAGAGATCCTTTTGTATTTTGAACACTGCTATTACGTTTGCTTTCATCCAATCTTTCAGTACCTTCCCATTTGTCAAGATTTTTCAAAACTCTAAAATCAGTTCATTTGCTGATCCCATTAATGGCTGGTATTCTATGATCAAATTGCATAAATATTCCATTACCTGTTCTTTATTGTTAGTCTTCCTTCCCCTCGTTACTGCAAATGTGGGAAGAAGCACTATGAGCCATCCTATGAAACCTAAGAGTCTGTTAAAGGGAGGATACTGGATGTGATGACTCACATTGGTCTTGATCCAAAACTCACTGAAATCAATGGAAAAACTGGTTGATTTCAGTGGTCTTTGGATTAAATTTGTGGAGAAGTTAGAAACATGAGTATGAAACTATGTTATTCAGATTGGAGAAATGCAACCTAATGCATGTGGAGAAAAATAATCCAGAATAACAATGTTTAATGAGATGGAGAAGCCTAAAAATCAATTGTGACAGATATTGCAACTGCATGCAGTATCTTTGGGAGCATATTGTATTACAGTTATGAATGGTTTGTTGTGAATTCTATGAATTAATGTATTGCTGTGGGGCAGGGATTGTATACATAGAGTCCTGCGTGGATACAAAATTGGTATCCGCATCTGCAAAAGTGGTCCGTGGATATCCGCATCCTCACTTGTGGATGTAGATACCCATGGATTGAAAGCGGATATCCGCAAATAAATTTGTATTCACGTCCATATCCGGAAAAATGAGCCATGGATATCCACACCGCACATATATAACCAGGGCTTGACAATTAGGGCAATCTACTCACCCGTGGCAAGTACATTTTAGCCCAGCACGGCACCGCAGTGCGATCAGTGCATGCGCAGCGCGCCAAATCAAGTGGCTGGAGAGCAGGGCTCGCCGCTGCTTGTCAAGCCCTGTGGATAACCATGGATACAAAGCAGATATCTGCAGATTTGCAGGGCACTATGTATATAACTGCAGCAGACAGGTTACCCTGGGTCCTTCAGGAACTGAAAACGGTGGATGGAGGGTGCTAAGGTGAATCATTCAGATTGTAACATCTCCAAAGAGGTAGCATTCCTGAGAGGCACTTGCGTCTATGGTTCAAACTGGGTTTTCCAGACACCAACAAAGAAAGGGCTTTTGGTATTAAAAGGTGGTGTTTAAACTGACTTGGGGTCTTCTTTTTGATCCAGCAAACAGACAGGACCTTCTGCCCAAGAAGAATGTAAACCTTGTGGAAGGGTTGGAAAGACTTTGGCTGATCAGGATCCCATAAGACTGATGGGTGAGCTTTGGTAAGCTTTTAGTGTGTTCACAGGGAATTGTATTAATTTGTATATGTAGCACAAACTGGTACCTGAACTGGATTCCCTTCCATGTTTCCATTATTGGTGTTTTTTGAAAGTTGATATTGTGTGTTGCCTGTCTTCTCCATTAAAGAATTTAATCTTAGATTCTCAAAGGTTAGGTGCAAATTGGGTGCCTAAATACCTTTGAGGAGCTGAATCTTATTTTGGGGGGCAAAGATTATATATATATTCTGAGCTCTTGTTACACTGACCAGGTCTACATTTAAAACACTGCAGAAAGTACACCAACAGGACAGCTTCTCCCATCGGTATAGCTGATTCACCTTGGCAAGAGGCGGCAGCTATGTCACATATGGACTTGTTACACTCCTGAGCAACGTAGTTATAGCAACGTAAGTGTGCAGAGTAGACCTGGTCCTAATTATTTTACACACACCTTTTTAAGACAGAAGGGGATTCTGAAAGACAACTTTAGGCTGAAATAGAGCCTTTCTTCTGATATGCCATAGGGGATGTTATTTCTGTATGTTGTAAGACTTTGTGTGGGGTTGGCCGTTTTTCATAGCATCCTAACACGATGGGATCCTATCTTTTTATTGATGGCTTCCTCAATTTGTTTTATGTGCCATAAAACTGCTGTTTTTAAGACTGGACTGTGAATACTAATAGGTGAGGAAATTCAGTGGTGTGCCTCTTGGAGAGAAACTCAGTTCTGGCTACAGAGAAGGGAGAATCTGCAATGGGTAATGGTCAGTGCAGAAAGTCATAGACATGATAGACATTTTGAGCTCTGTCTCCACATAGGGCTGCAAACAAAATGGGGCAGATCTGTATGTGGCCAAGTAGAGCAAAATGACCTGAAAGATACTAGACGTAATTCCAGAGATGGCTCCAATGGGGAAAAGGAGCTGATATCCAGATGCTCAAAGGTATTTAGGTGCATAATTTCCATTGCTCACAATGAAAGTTAGGTACCTAAATACCTTTGAGGATCTGAGCCTAACTAAAGGCACTGATATGCCCTGTTGTTGTGTTGTTTGTTACAAACATTTAATAGTTCCTCGTGCTTGTCACTGTGCCGCCAATCATAGCTTTAAAGTTGATATGGAGTCATGGGAATGCCATTGGAAATTACCCTTGCAGGAAGCTCTCATTTATATCTCTGCCTATAGCACTTCCTTCCTTGGCACTAGCAGAAGGTAGAGCACAACTGGCGCAGAGGTGGGCCCCTCTGACATTACAAGAGACACTCTGAGGAGTATGGGGACAGAAGAGATGACACTGATGAGCCCACGTCCTCTTGCAGTTCATATCCTGAGTGCTGGAATTTGGGTCCTGATCATGCAACCCTTTACTTGTTTTAAGAATCAGAAGAGTAGCCCTGTTATTCTGAATCTGCAAACACCATGAGGAGTCTTGTGGCACCTTAAAGACGAGCAGGTTTATTTGGGGGGCATCAGCTTTCATGGGCAAAATCCCACTTTGTCAGACTGAGGTTTTGCCCCCAAATACATTTGCTCATCTTTCAGGTGCCAGAGGACTTTTCGCTGTTTTCATCTACTTAAATGTATTCATGTGTGTAAAGTGAAGTGTGTAAGTTATGCCTATAAATTCCTGTTTTAGATGGGGGGGGGGGGAAGGGGATGAGTTCCATCATGAACATTACTGGGTTCAACTCCAGTAGCATCCCCTGGCAGCAGGTCTCTGGAAATGGCTTGGGGAAATGCATCCCCAGAAAAGGCTGCTCTGAGCTGATTCAGAGCAGCGGGTAAAGATGAGAATGAAATCATCACATGCATTCAGTGCCATATCGGGGTATCCTCCCTGATAGCAAGGCAGGGCATTGGGAAGACTCGGCGCCCCAAAGCCATGATACAGGCACTCCCAGGGCGGCCGGTTTGGAGCAGAGGGCTTCAGTGCTAGAGAGGGGTTAACTGGGCGCAGGTGTTGGAGGAGGCGTTACCCGGACACGCTCCGCTTTGTCCTCCGCAGCAGCTGGAGGCGGCAGTGGGCGGAAGGGGGATGGCTGCTGGGTACTTGCGGCTCCTGCACCCCAGCCCGGTGGCAAAGCCAAGCCTCGGCCCG